ACCACTCTGGCTAAAGAAATTCCTTCTCATCGCAATTCTAAAGAATCGTCCCTTCACTCTGAGGCTGTGTTCTTGGGTCTTAGTCTCTCCTACTGATGGAAGCATCCTCTCTACATCCACTCAATCCATGCCTCTCGGTATTCTGTAAGTTTCAATAAGATCTGCCCTCTAAACTTCATAAAGTACAGACCCAGAGCCCTCAACTGCTCCTCATATGTCAAACTCTTCATCTCCAGGATCATTCTTGTAAATCTCCTCTGGATCCCCTCCAATGCCAGCATCCTTCCTTAGGTTAGGAACCCAAAGCTACTCTCAATATTCCAGTTTGAGCAGAGCCTTATACAGCCTCAGCAGTACATTTCTGCTCTTGTATTCTAGCCCACTTGAAATGAGTGCTAACATCACATTTGTGTTCCTAACCGCCAGATAAACCTGTAGGTTAACCTTTAGCGAATCCTGAACGAGGACTCTCCAGTTTCATCATGCTTTCGATTTCAGAAGACTGTTTCTAAATGGGGAAAGACTATGCTTCTATTCTTCCTACCAAAATGCATAACCTCACATTTAAGTCAGCTAACCTTCGATTCATGCCGGGACCTTGGCCGCAACACCGTTGGCTCTTATCTTATTGAGCAGCCCTTAAAATCAATGTAAGCGTTTACAGCAGGTAATAAGGAAGGCAAATGGAGTTTTGGCATTTATTACAAAGGAATAGTATGAAAGTAAAAGCTACAAATGTACAAGGCATTAGTGAGACCACATTTGGAGTATTGCCTACAGTTTTGCTCCCTTAATTTGAGGAGGGATTTAAGGAGTTGCATTGGACCCAGATTAGAGAAGATTAATTGATTCCAGAGGTGAGGGTTTGTCTTGCATAGAGTTTGAGCAGTTTAGAAGAATGAGAGGAAATCTAATTGACATATATAAGATGCTAAAGGGGATTGACAGTCGTAGAATGGATGTTTCTTGTGGAGCAATCTACAATGAGAGGTCATAGTTTAAAGATGAGGGATAGCAAATTTCATTCAGAGATGAGAAATTACTTCTCTCAAAGAGTTGTGAATCTGAGGAATTCACTATCGCAGCATGGATGCCGAGGCATTGAGTAAATCTAAGGAGGTGATGAGTTGGAGAGCTATGGTGAGAGGGCAGGAAAGTGGAATTGAGACTGAAATAAGATCAACCATGATCGTATTGAATGGTGGAATCAGCTCGACGGGCTGAACTGTCTACTCCTGTTTTGTTCTTATGTTCTTAAGAGCAGTGTTAAAGACATTCTTAATTATCTCTATTTCAAGGAAAGTATTACCATAGGGTGCTTTTGATTTATGCTTATTGTATGATACTGCCATCTTCATCTGGACACCTTCCCCATGTCTCCATTTTGTGTTGTTCCCAGGTGCTAATGTATCTCGTTTTGCGATGATATTTAGGTAGTTTTGAATGTGACAGTGGACACAGGCTGCAGACAGATATATGAAGATTAAATAAGTGGGAAACAAGGTGACAGATGGAGCATAATGTGAGCCAGTGTGAAGTTATTCAGTTTCTGGTCAGAATAGAAAAGAAATGTACAATATATTTGGAAGGATTTGGTGCATTTGTACGATAAGCACAGGGCATGCAGATATAGCAAGCGGTTAGGAAGACACATGGCATGTTGGCTTTATAATAAAGGCATTGGATTACAAGAATATGTAAGTCTTGCTACTATTGTACAAGATTTTTGTTAGGCCATACATGGAGCCTCCATATCTAAAGAAAGTTGTACTTTGGAGGTGAGACAATGAAAATTCATAGATTGGTTACCAGGATGTGAGAGTTGTCTTATGATTTAATATAAGTGACTGAGCATAGACTTAGTAGAGTATATAAGAATAAAGGTTAACCTCATAAGATTCTGAAGTGGCTTGGCAGGCTATATATACAGGTTGTTTCCCTAGCTGAGGAAACTGGGAAAAGTGGGTATGGCTTAGAATAAGGGGCCAATCATTTAGGACTGAGATGAGAAATGAGAAATTGAGGTTGTGAATCTTGAGAACCCTCTTCCCAAGAGGGTTGAAGATGCGGCCGAGATACAGATTATTGACTTTCAGGAGAGCAAGGGATATGAGCGGTGATGGGAATAGAGTCTTAGACTTAGACTTCCTACAGTGTGGAAACAGGTCCTTTGCCCAACAAGTCCACACCGATCCTCAGAGCATCCCACCCAGACCCATCCCCCTATAACCCACCTAATCTACTCATCCCTGAACACTATGGGCAATTTAGCATAGCCAATCCACCTCGCCTGCACATCTTTGGACTGTGGGAGAAAACGGAACACCCAGAGGAAACCCACCCAGACATGGGGAGAATGTGCAAACTCCACACAGACAGTCGGCCAAGAGTGGATTCAAACCCAGGCCCCTGGTGCTGTGAGGCAGCAGTGCTAACTACTGAGTCACCGTGCCACCCTAAACCGAGGCAGAAGATCAGCCATGGCCATATTGGATGATGGAGCAGACTTGGAGGGGTATGTTCCCACTTCTGCTTTTTCACAGAAAACTCAGAGATGGTGTCAAGAATGAGAGACTTCAATTATATAAAGACTCTGGAGAAATGTTTATTCGAGACAGATTTTTGGATTTTAAGGGGTTTGGAGATAGTGAGAGAATTGAAGTAGACAACCTACCGTGACCGTACTGAAAAGTGGAGCAGGCGTGAAGGGCCATATGGTCTATTCTTGCATTTATTTTATGTTCTTTTTACCTTATGCTTCACCTTTTGCCAGTGCCCACTTGTGCAGTTGATTTTGATAGTTTTTGTTTTAAGTCCTTCAAACTAATACTGTCTGAGAACAAAGTCAAACTTGAATCAATATTGAAAGACCTGTGGATGCTGGAAATCAGAAATGAAAACAAATTGCAGGAAATGTTCAGCAGGGCCGGTAGCATCTGTGGAGAGAAATCAGGGTTAACGCTTCAGATTGAGTGACTGTTTCTCAGAACACGAACTTAAATCTCTGTGCAATGAGTAAAAACTGTACAAAACGGGAGCATTTTTCTAGATCGTACAGATTTGCCTAGGGAAAATGAATGGCCAAAAGTGAAATTATTGTATTTAATTTGGAAGAACTGCCTGCCAGGCCACTTTAACTTGATTTGAGATCGCTTGGTACAATTCACTTGGACCTTGATTGCTGAGGCACAACATTTTCCTCTGTGTAGGTATATTCTGGCTAGCAAATACCTTACACAATGTTGTAACCTTTGTACCTTTTTGTGGAAATAGTAAACTTTCAGAATCGAGCTATTTCAGTTGAGACGTTTATTTGTAGGAGAAATCATGTAAATATTTTGCTGCAGTTGAACAAAACAGAGACTTCAAGTAGTACTGCCTTTAGCAGTCAAGATTTCTTCAAGGCTATGGTTAGATTTTAGGTTTGCTGCTGGTGATGCATTGGTAGAATGCTAATGTTAAGTATGCGCTTAGATTTATTTTATGTCTTGTGCACTTTTTGTATAGCATAGTTTTGTGGTGCTTTTTAAGTATTTAGTTGAAGTAATCATTTGCGCAAGTATGCTTTAAAGGTAAAATAGCCATAGTCCTACCAAACTGTAGAGCTGCTGTCTCATTAGGTGGTGATTTAGCCTGAGAGTCTCCATGCCTCGGGACAGGGGAAAGGTTGAGAAGGCAAGTCTTCATGGTAACCCCTGCTGTTGGTGGTACTCTGCATCGCAAACCATCTAAGCTAATTAAGCTAAAAGGGGAAATGACAGCCTGGTGGTATTATTGCTGGACTTTAAATCCAGAGACCCAGGTAATGTTGGGGGACCAGGTTCGAATTCCACCACAGCAGATGGTAGAATTTGAATTCGGTAAAATCTGGAATTGGGTCTAATAATAACCATGAATTCATTGTCAATTGTTGAGAGAAAATACCCATCTGGTTCACTAGCACCCTTTAGGGAGGGAAACTGTCATCCTTACCTGGACTGGCCTACATGTGACTCCAGACCCACAGCAATGTGGTTGACTCTTAGCTGCCCTTTGGGTATTTAGGGATGGCAATAAATGCTGGCCTAGCCAGCAACACCCTCATCCCGTGAATGAATAAAAATAAAAGGACCCCCTTGGATATCCGAACTGCAGCCTTTGTAAAGTGATGCCTCTCTTTTCCGAATACCTTATACAGAAAAAGAATCTTATCCTGGCTTTTAGTTGAAATTTGTCTCAACACCCTGAATGGCATAAGAAACCAGTGTTAATTGCACTGTCAATAAAATACAAGTCTGAGCCATTCCTGATTCTAAAGTAGCCAAAATTTGCATAATACTTCACTTTGTAATGCCACTGCTTAAAAAGGTGCCATATGACAAACCTAATTTGAACCATGCTGTATCTATACAATACCAAAATTATTTTGTGACGTTATAAATCTTTAGAATACATCCTCACTCAAATATCCAAAATTTTTTGGATTGGGGGAAATAAGCAGAAAAAACTAACTTCCAGCAAAAGTGGCCTTTGTTCATTTGTAAACATTAGCTTCACTTTGTTTTTAAACCGTAAACATAGAGCATTTAACAATAAGAAATTATTTTTGCTTGCAAGTTATAAAAGATGGATTTAAATGTTCTGAAAAAGATAATATTTTCAGCTTCTTCCTGGATTTTGTGTTACTTCTACATTGACGTTTGTTCATTTCTTTTAAACATATTATACGTTTTCTTCAAGCTTCATTCTCGCAGTTTGTCTGGCCTTGTGCATTCTTTTTTTGTAATGCTACACATTTCAGGGACATTTTCCTTTCTGTAATTTGTACATGCCCTACTTGGGTTGTAATCAGTAGAGCTGAGCAATTAGTTTGCATGAATCATCTAGTTTTAGGTGTGCCTTTTTAATGCCTTGAAATCACATTTCTAATTTCCATTCAGTGCAGTGTAAATGTTTGTGATTTTTTTTTCTGAAGAATTTAGTACAATGGTTTTATTTGTTCCATTCTGTGACCCTCACAGGTTTTCAAGATTGACGATAGCAGAAATGGATAACGGTGGTTATATCCAGTTTGATGTGCCTGAGTACAGCAACTGTGTCCTGAGCCAACTCAATGAACTACGCTTACAAGGAAAGTTATGTGACATTATAGTTCACATTCAGGGTCAGCCATTCAGAGCCCATAAGGCTGTCCTCGCTGCCAGCTCCCCATATTTCCGTGATCATTCAGCACTGAGCACCATGAGTGGTTTATCAATATCAGTTATTAAAAATCCAGATGTATTTGAGCAGTTACTTTCGTTTTGTTACACTGGAAGACTATCGTTGCACTTGAAAGATGTTGTTAGCTTTCTTACTGCTGCAAGCTTTCTTCAGATGCAGTGCATAATTGACAAATGTACTCAGATCCTGGAGAGCATTCACTCAAAATTCAGTATTGTGAGTATTGACTCTGTAGTTGTCAGTACTGATGATAATCAGGGAAATCGCAATGGGGTTAGAGAGAGCAATAGCCGCTTCTTGAATCCAGTTGAAATTTCTCCTCCATATTATGGTCAAGTAAGGCAGGCAACAATTGCTAATGAGCCACGCATGGAGGCCACACCAAACCGAAGTTTTCAGAATCGGACTATGGAGGAGAGACACTCTGATCCTGGAAGCAGTGGTAGTATTTCAGAGCACGAAATCCAAATTGAAGGTGATCATGAGCAAGCGGAGTTAATAGTGAGGGAGAGTAATCCAATCGGCGCTCAGATTACAGAAGTCAAAGTCAAAATGGAAAAATCCGATCGGCCAAGTTGTTCTGATAGTTCGTCAGTGGGTGATGATGGATATCATACAGAAATGGTAGATGGAGATCATGTGGACAGAATGGTGGCTGTGAATGTCAGCTCATATGGACCAGTATTGCAACAGGCTTTCTCACTATCTCAACCCGCGTCACAGTCGGCTGGCTTATCGTCAACCTATGGTTGCATCACAAATTCAAGTCCCTCTAGATCTATGCTTAGTAATTTTAGAGGTCGAGGCCGACTGAAACGAAATATACAGATACAGAATGAAGGGCAAAATGTGATTAGTCAGTCCTCTGATGGCGACAGTGGGCCAAACAGGCAAGGTTTTGAGAATAATCCCCATGACCATGACGCAAGGGAACACTGGTTTCCATACAATCAAAGGTTAATTTGTATCTACTGTGGAAAATCCTTCAACCAGAAAGGGAGTCTTGACCGACACATGCGCCTCCACATGGGAATAACTCCGTTTGTCTGCCGCTTTTGTGGAAAAAAATACACACGAAAAGACCAACTTGAATATCACATTCGCGGGCACACGGATGACAAACCATACCGCTGTGAAATCTGCGGTAAATGTTTCCCTTTCCAAGGCACTCTAAACCAACATTTGAGAAAAAACCATCCAGGCGCTGCTGAAATTAAAGGACGAGTCGAGTCACCTGACCGAACAGACACACACACAGAACAAAAAGAAGGTGATGAGCCTTCTCCTTCAGAAGAAACCAACATGGAGACTGCAGTGCAAGATGTTCTTCCATTGTCTCATATTTCTGAATGATTAGCTTAGGCATAACAAAGCCAGAGGCGCGCACAGCTTGAAATAATGCTACAATATTCGTATTTTGGGGGTTTTTTGTAGCACAGTATTCAGCATTTATATAATGTTTCTGGTTATGAAACTACTATTTTTCCCCAATCAAGTTCTATTTTTTTCTTGTATCGATTTTTCCTCAAAATTGATAATTTTGAATACTTCAGAAAAGATAGTATTTGCCTGATTTAAAGGTATAGTGTATTATATAAATACAAAAATAAAATAAATTACCATGTTCAGAAGAACAGTGAGATAATTAGTTATGGTAACAGGAAGAAATGTGCATGAGATAATACAATGATGCACCGTTATAAAGACTAAAAGTCAATATGACCAGCCAAGGCATCCATTAATGCTTCACACAGCAGTGGGAAATGCTATTCAGTCCAGTGTTTCATTTTACAAATTATTTTATCAATGAAGGTTAAAGACAATGTAGTGGTAAGAGGTTAGAAATGAGCTCAACACTTCAATGGGACAACATTGGAAGCCTGGCAGCCATCACGCTTTGCAGTTCCATTACACCAATTGTGATGAGTTTGATATTTATTTTTAACCCGCAGCTTGGTAAAATGTCATTTGATTGATCCCAGCTTGCGAGTTGACATATTATGAGCACCCTCTACTGTTCAATCCATGTGTAACATGCTTCCAAAAATATCCCAAAACTCAGCATCTGCGTTTCTTGCTGTCTCTTTCTCAGGTCAGACTTCTACCTGGCTTGGTTCAGCCTAAACTATTAAATTCTATACCGTTTACCTGGTCTCTCTCTGATCTGTGTTACACTCATACTGCTGTGTGGAATAGCTTGAATGCTTAAGGGTCATATTTACTAGTTTCAATGATAAACTGTATTTTAAAAATCATTTCATTCACTCTTGGAAGAGACCTCTCAACACATTTTTTCACTGATGTTAAAGCCCTCCAGGCTTTAGTTTATTATCAAAATTAACTGTGTCAAATGAGTGCAATCTTTAATGTACTTTAGGAATAGATTAGCACACGCCCAGCTCTGATCAGGCATGTACCCAGCATCTTCAGGGAAATGGCATTTGTTAGGTGGACAGCTATTATTTTCATTCATGGTAGGCCTGGTGAAGGGGCAGCATTGTCTCTTCTCTAGTGGTGTTTTCTGTTTTTAAAAAAAATCTGAAAATATAATAATTTACCCTAACTAATGGGGTTATTCTATTATTTTGCTCTTAAAAACTTGGCTAATGAGGAATGCTTCTTCCATCTTCAAATTTAGAGATTATTTACTCTGAAGAAATCGGATTTAATGAAATAGATGTTTACTTTGCTGAGCTACATCTCATTCAGTGAAGTAAACTGGTTTATCTGTTGGTAGTTGCACTTCCAGGTTTTATCTAAATTCAACACCACAAAACTTTTGTCAGTTCAGAAGTTTTGTAGGGAGAGAAATCAAGGCAGTATTTAAAATACTAGGTAGATGCAAGCATTGTGTCTGCCATTTAATAATGATTTTATTTATGCAAATTATAATTAGCAGAAGACTGTTAAATGTTCTATTATAGAAAGATATTCAAAACAATTCAAGTAACTTCTGTGTTCTAAGACTGAAAGTTTTTGCCACCATTCATGAGTCCCTCTTCTCTGCATGTCCTTGGTGAAAGATGTGAATAAGGCTAACTCATTTTAAAGGGTTGCTGATGGGATCATAATTTCAGAAATCTATTAAATTATGAAATTAATATTTCAAATTACCACGTTATTTCCTGTGCTAGTAGTGATCTCAGTCTAGCACTTAAATATAATTGTGTCTGCAAAAATGCTTGTACTAAATTTAATTTTAAAAATCTTTGTCTTTGGATCATTCAGACTGTATTGGGTTTGAAACACTTGGGATTCAGCTACTTCTGACCGTTTAAGAAGGTTGACGGTCAGTTCTTATGACATGAGTAGGGAAGTTTCTAGGTTTTTAAGTTAAATTCAGTTCCACATCAGAGCTGAGTTTTGGAGCAAAAATAAATCAAACCAGTATTTAAAGTAAGTAAATGTATGACTTGCAGATCCTTTATAAACAAACAATAGCAGTTCACGTGAAATCGTAGTACATCTATATTACAAAAAGGATAACCCTTCTCATCCTGCAAATCTCCCTTTCTCAAACACTTTCTGAATTAAGTGTTTTGAATACATTTACTGTATACATTATGCTAAATGAACTAGTCTAGAATTATTTGATTAAGAGTATAATTGCATATATTCCCAATGTGGTCTATAAATGAATACCTAGAGGCTTCTGACGTATGTTTTTAGAGGGAAAAATAATATTGCTAAACTTGTACCTTTTTTCAAAAGAGTCAGTACTAATTGGAACACTTGTTTAAAAAAGATTTATTTGAGAAAATTGTTTTACTTCTATCATGAAAGATCTTTATGCAAGTTTTAGTGTCTGCTCAACAAGTCCTGGAAAAATCTGCTGGTCCTGTATTCATTCTAGATTTTTGATCTGATCGCACATTCCTTATTTTAAAAAAAGATCCGAGATCCAGGAGTTCAGCTAACCATTCAATATAATTCTGCCAATTTAATCTACAAGAATACTGAATAAATGGATGAACTCATACTACATCTGTTAACCATGTTGAGCAAATAAATTGTATAAGCAGATAAAAAAGTTAAAAATGAATGGAGGAATTGTGGATTTTTTCCATCTTTAAATAGGAAAGTTTTATTGTTGGTGTGTATTTCTCTGTAGTCCATTTTACTTTGTACAAGCCAGGTAATAGAATCACCTAGGAATCATATCCACTCTAAGACCATAATATACATGCTGTGATGTTCTAGTTTAAGAAAAAGTAAGCAGTACTACTAAACTTAAACAGTTTACTTATTACCTGGTTAAAGTCCAATCCCTTTTTGGTATTCAGATGGAAGTTGTATATTGGGAAATGTATGTACTCCACTATGGTCATTTTGATTACCATCAATCCTGGATCAGTGGACACTTAACATACAGATTTTCAGGTTACTAAAGTTTGAAGAGGATACAAACTCCAAAAGGGACATGGTTGTGTATAGCCTCACCTACCTTTCTTGGGGTATTTGCCCTCAAATGGTGCTGTTAGATCAGGTTAGAATTATTTATTGAACCAGCATTAACAATTTTATATATAATATTTGGGTGTGTACTGTTTCAAATTTTTGTTTATATAAATTCTTTATATGAACCCTGTAATATAATCAATCTGAAATTCTAGTCAACTCCAAAGTATTGACGGGATGATTGAAGTTGATGTTTTCTAGAATGCATGTAATCTTTAAGGAAACCTATAGAGTTTTAATCTGTTCTAAAATCCAGCTAATACATTATAATTTAATAGAACATACTGATTTAACACTGTTTGGATGAATCAAGAGCTAAACTGGTGATGTCATTTTGTCTCTTAGATTATTCCTGGGATTTTGTTTTCTGAAGAAGCTAGCAATTGTCATAACAATTTCTAAACTAGAACTAACTGTGTTAATCATGATAAAGCACAAATTCGACCTATTAATTTTCTTTATGACTAGTATATTTCATGCATGGCTAAAATTTCATGAGCCTAACCTGATCTGCCATTTTGAATTTCTCAGACTCTGAGCTACAATGCCAAATGGGCACCCTATTGCACTTTGCCTGAACTCAGACAGAATTGCTTGTTGGACTCAGCAGCTACAGGACAAGCATTTTAAAAGATTTTATTGCAAAGCAATGATGAATTCCCAACCATCCCCTCGTTCATACTCAAAGGAAATCATAATAAGATGACATTTGAAATGTTCATTGTTAACGTGTTTTGCATTAAATAAAAATGGATGTAATGCCATCAGTAAAATTGGAGACAAGCAGGAACATATTTCATATTTGTTGCATTACGTGGGTAAATTTCAGGATCTGAGTTCAGAGACACAGGTACCAATTACATAGTATAGTGCAACATACAAATCTGGGCTGGTGGGCAGGAAGATAGTTAAATTAGCTGCCATTAAGCATTTAAAAGGTGCTTGTATGTATATAATATAAAAAAGACTTTTAACAGAGCCTATATTGGACATCTACCTAACACTTTCTTAAACACCCTGACTCAGACAATATTAGTGCAATAAACACTCAGTCACAATAGACACACAGTTTTAAATAAGCTATTTTCAAATGATATAGTGCATTTTTTTTTAATTTTGATATTTACGGTGTATAATCTGTTTAGGACCATTTGAGTCATAAGCAACCAAAAATGTATTCCACTGTTTTATTAAGCAGTATATCTCAAGAAGCTTTTTTTGATTGTTCCGTGAAGCAATTACAGAAGTTAGAACAGAGCTTTTTGAGAGAGAGTAATAAAGCTATCTATAAGGGAAATGATTTGACATCATCAGAGCAGATTTCATTTTGCAAGCAGAACGGTTAATTTTCTTCTAAGCTCTGTCGATGTGATCTTAAAGAACTACAAAATGGCTGCTAGATTGTCACTGTCACTATCTAGGGAGGACATTAATGTGCTGTTCACTTATTAAAACTCTGGAGATTTTCTTTAGCAGGCCATAATCCATGAATGAGTGAAATAATGAAGCTATGTAAAGCTGATGCTCTGACAGTTGATAACTAGCCATTATGGATGTATTTTCTAGCATGAATGCAATCAATATTTATTCAAAAGTATATGTTTTTCTCTTATCCTATTAGCTGTGTCTGTGATCAATTAATATTTCATTGCTGCTTAATTATTGTTTTGATAATCCTTTTTCTGTGTTTCCATTTTGTTGCTTGTAAACAGCTTTTGTATTGTTTGAAGAGTAATAAATGGAAAGTTTCTGTTTTTGTAAATAAATCTTTTGCTGTTATAGAACCCCAACCGTTTGGTTTCCACTTAGCTTACAGTGTGATAAAGTGAATGATTATGGGAAATGAGCATTGTCATCACTCGTTTTGTTCAAGGTCACTTTTTCCCCCAAACTATAACCAGGACTCGGGTCACTAAACCTTAAAAGCATCGTGAAGAAGCAACTGTCGGCTGTGACGGCAATGTGCAGTTGTCTGTAAGCTCGTGCAGCCTGTAAGTTTAAGAGAGTTGAAAAACAAAGTGTGAAAATGTATCTTTTTTTTAAGAAATGACTGGAAGACAGAATGTGGGATGCATATGGACTGGTTGACTCTGCTCAGTTTCAATGTCGAGTTTTGGGAAAGCATGATGCAGTTGCAGTTTGTGCTACGTTATTAATCAGGGAGGTATGTAATGGATTTAATAGGTCTGCCCTTTTCGTTCTTCCCTTGATCAAGTACCTCACTTTGCCATCTAATGAATGAGCTAAATTCAAGCAAATTTCCATAAAAGTCAACTTGGAGATTTGTAACATGATTAGAAGAAACTTGCTTAATACTTGGCTTTTGATTTATTGGAGTACATAATGAGTATGATTCTTGATTAATGGATGACAAAAGGATCTCTGGTATTTGTATTAATAAAATAACTAAGGTTTTTTTTCAAAGAGAAACACTGAGATTATGCACAGACTTGGGTTTGGATCTAAGTGTTGGAGAATCCCCAAAACTGGTTCTTTATGATTCCATCCAGGATTTTTAATCCCCTCATGTTCTTCAGGCTTCATCTGAACTGCATAGTTGAAGTTATTTTTGTTCTGTTTTACTGGGCATTTTACAAAATGCTCACAGAAAAGAAATTGAGTTTGTCACCTTTTGATTGTTTTCTAGTATTTCAAAATTTGTGTTGTAACATAGGAAATACAGTAGACAATTTCCACACAATGTCCAACATAGCAATGACTAAAACTTTTATATTGTTGCTGAAAGTCAATAATAAAAACTTAAAGCCCGTGGGATACGTGGGGAATGTGGTGAATTGATCCAGTTTTGGATCCAGTGATTGAAAACAAAGGTAATTGACCTATTTTTGCAAACGGAAAGCAGTTTCCAGCATTGGAATTGCTGCCCAGTTTGGTGGTTGAGTCAGAAATCTTGACCAGCTCATTGGATCTGCACCGGAAGCACTGCCAAAAGGCAATGGACCAGGTCCTGAAAAGAGGGATTAAAATGAGTGGTAAATTTATTCATTCGGTGCATACACTACAAGCCGTATCACAACTTCCTGTGCTCAAAACTTTTCTATGGTTAAATGTTGGCCAAGAAGAAGTCCCTTCTTGCCCTTCAAAATAGGACCTTTTATGGTCACCTGAAAGAGCAGACAGGGTTTTAAGTTTAATATTTTATCTGAGATCAGGCACCCTGACAGTTTGTTACTCCTTCATTGTGGCCAGAGGTGGTGCTGCATGCAGTGGATTTTTTTTTGGATGACGACGAACAGGATCAGGCAACAATAAATGAAACTTCAATCACTGCAAAGTTTTAACCAGTCTGCTATAATTTAAATCGTTCTAATGAATGGGAATGTAGAAGTTGATAGTTATGTTCTGCAGTATGTGTAGGAGTATTGAGCAATTTTGTAACCATAAATTTCTTAGATACTGTAATGCTATCTTCAGTTTATCTAGCTAGGGGGAGGCAATGGCCCAGTGGCATTATCGCTGGACTGTTAATCCAGAGACCCAGACAACATTTTGGGGACTCAGGTTCAAATCCCACCACAGCAGGTGGTGGAATTTGAATTCAATAATATGTCTGGAATTAAGAATCTAATGATGACCATGAATCCATTGTCGGAAAAACCCACCTGGTTCACTGATGTCCTTCAGGAAAGGAAACTGCCATCCTTACTTAGTCTGGCCTACATGTAACTCCAGACCCACAGCAATGTGGTTGACTCTGAACTGCCCTCTGGGCAATTAGGGATGGGCGATAAATGCTGCCTAGCCAGCGACATCCTCATCCTGTTAATGAATTTTTTAAAAAAAGCTTCCCCCAAGCAAAATTTTAAATAAAAACCAAAAGAACTGCAGATGTTGTAAATCAGACAAAAACAGAAATTGCCAAAAAAGCTCAGCAGGTCTGGCAGCACCTGTGCAGAGAAATCTGAGTTGACATTTTGGGTCGAGTGACCCATCCTCAGAACTCAAATTTAAATATATAGCTTATGATACAGAATTTTGTTCATCCTGATTGTCACCAAGGGTACTTAATGAGGAAAATTGAGATAGATAACATTAGAACTTAGCAAATATTTCTCTTTTGTTTTATTAAATTTTAATTTTCATCGCAATTGTAAAATAAAAAGGTACATAGATTTAACTGGAGCAACTCCACCCACTGACGCACACCATAGATATGTGAATTCCTTTTCTCTTCAGAAACCTATTTAATTATCTTTCGAACCTTTATACATGACCTGCTTCAAATTCCTTACTGATGATAATACATTTTACAAGTCCATTCCTCCTGAGATTTTAAATTGCACCCAATTTCCCTTCTTATTTTTAACCTGTGTCCCAAAGTGGAAGAATCAAATTATTTTAAATATAAACTGCTAAATTAATCTGCATGTGATGTGGCATTTGAGCAACTGAAGTGAATGAGCAAAAATATGGAAAGCAAAACTGCTGGAAATATGCAAAAGATGAGACAGTATCCACTGAGGAAAGACAGATTATAATGTTTTGGGTTTGTATCTTTGCTTAAACAAGCTTTTGGTCATATGTTCCAATATCCCTTTATGTGGCTTGGTCTCTTTTATAATGTCTTCCTAAAATGCTTTGGGACCATCTTTGGCTTTAAATGCAAGTTAGTGTTGATGAGTTGCTTCCTGAAATGCTGCAGCCTGCTTTTCACAAATATTCATTGACCTGGCCTATCTTTTGAGCATTTTCTATTTCTATTTTAAAAATTCTAGTGTTTCCATTTTTCCCCTTAATGCTTAATTATCAAATATTTGTAGCACAAGAGAAGTGAGCCATATCAGTTGACTATCATGTGAAAAAATATATTAATAAGCTATTATCCAAATTATTGCAAATACAGAGATATATGATGGAGGAGTTTATTTGTTTTAAAAACCAATTTTTATCATTCTACTTTTGAGTAGATCTTCTGCATGTGATGTGGTGACAGGTTAATGTTGTTCCTTTTTTCACCTCTCTTCTGACTAACACTTTTGACAAGGAACTGTGTGTTCTGATGGTAAGGAATGGACACATGCACTGTTTCTTGTAAGTGTAAAAATCAAAAGAAAGGATAAACGTTTATTTTTCCCCTGACTGGGAGTCTAGAACCAGAGGAACCAGTCTCTGAATAAGGTGCATTTAAGACTGAGATGAGGAATTTGTTCACACAGGGGGTGAATCTTTGAATATCTCTGTTCCAGGAGGCTGTGGCGTCTCGGTTGTTCACGACAAATTGACAGATTTCTATGTATTAAAAACATTAAGGGATAGGGAAGTAATGTAGGTAAGTGGTATTGCATAACAGCCATAATTTCATTGAATGATGATATGTGCTCAAAGCACTGAATTTCTGACTCGTCCTATTTCTTGTTACTTACAACACTCAAGATGCACGGAGCAAACATGCACAGAAGAGGAGGTAATTTTTAGAGATGTAACACAGACTCAATATTATTAACAGCATATCAAAAAATAAACTCATTTATTTTGATAGTGTTTGAAAAGCAGGCATGAAGGATCAAATTTTGGTACCTTGGAGATAGATGGAGTTTGGAGGGCTCTAGTATTTTCAGACAAAATCATAGTGAAGAAAGATAATCTTGTAGTTGAACCAAGTTAGCACCTTTTTTTTTCACTGCTCAAAATAACACTCTTCTCAGGTGGAATCTTCCTGTTGCTTTGCAGATTATCTTGCTGTGTTTCCATGTGGAGTAACAAGTTGTGGAGATTGATACACAATTGGAAGTAGGGAATGAATGACATCCATCTACTTATCAGATATGATTAGCTCACTGAAACTTTATTTGACATTCCATCATCATGAGGCCAACCAGTCTAGTAGCCATTGCCCTTTCAATCTCTTCCACTGAAATGTGAGAGGCAGTGGATTCGATCTTAAAAACTTCAAATACAATTTTGAATAACTTCCCAGATATATTGTCTGTATGCAGAAATCACAGATGGAAGTCACCTGGCTTTCTGAAATCTATTCTAAAGGTACTATTCCATTGTACTTTATTTTTAAAAGCACAGTGTACAATGCCCAAATTTTTTTATTATTCCTTAACAGAATGAGGGTGTCACTGGCTAGCCAGCATTTATTGCCCAGAGGGCAGTTCAGGGTCACCCAAATTGCTGCGGGTCTGGAATCACATGTAGGCCAGACCAGGTAGGGATGGCAGTTTCCTTCCCTAAAGGATATTAGTGAATCAGATTGTTTGTTTGTTTTTTTTTTCCCCCAACTATCAACAATGGATTCATGGTCATCATTGGATTCTTAATTCTGGATATTTTAATTGAATTCAAATTCCACCATCTGCTGTGGCAGGATTTGACCCCAGGTCGCCAGAATGTTATCTGGGTCTTTTGGTTTAACAGTCCAGTGATAATACCACTGGGTCATTGCCTTCCCCCTTAATCATCTGTCTGTATACTATTACCACCACAGTGGGGTGCAAATGAATAATCCTCTGATTTGTACTTGAACAAGGTGTTCCTGTTTTCACAGTTCACAGTGGTACATGTTAGTGGTTGTGAAATATAGCTCTAAGATTGCAAGTTACCAGGTCGAGGAAAAAAGCAGGAATAAACCATCTGGAAGTCAAAGTAACTTTGGACTGGTCTTGGGAAAACTGAATACCTGTGGAAAGGAGAGTGTGAAGTATACCAGTGAAGTGTGTTTTAATCTAAAGAAACTCAGCAGATCTGGCATCTCAATGGAGTGAGAAGTCATTTCAGATCTGAAAGATTAATTCTGTTTGTCTCTGCACAAATACTT